GGTCCCAGACCGCAGACAGCCTTGCCTGCTGCCGCCTGCCTTCAGTATGCAAATTAGCCGCCATCTAGTTGCTTCAGGGTGGGGGTCCCCACTGGGGTGCCTGGCCAGTCTGGGTGAGGGGCTGAGGGCTGTTTTCAGGCTGGCGGGCGACTGAAGCTCCAAACCTCTCCTTTTTTTCTTTTTTTTTATTCTGGCATTTATTTACCTTCTATGCCTGTCACTGGAGCTGAGAGCCGGCTTTCTCTCTGAGGCTCGGCTGCTGAAAGCAGGTTTCTGGCCTTTGTTTACCTTCTGTATTTGCAACTTTGTTGCGACTCCAGCTCTGAGATCCCGGCTGACTGAAAACAGGTTACTGGGGTTTTGTTTAGCTTCTATATTTGTTACAATGTTTCAAACTGCAAGCTCAGAGGCCAGCAGCGGCAGGCAGGGAACGTTGGAGTCCTCCTTCACTGAAGCAAGCAAGCCTCCTGTTCGCTTTAAGCTGCCTGGCTGCCGGCCGCCATCTTGGCTGGCAGTTAATTTGCATATCCTCCTGATTAGCCAATGGGAAGGGTAGCGGCCATACGGCTAATTACCATGTTTCTCTTTTATTAGATAGGATGGTACTGGAAGTCCTATTGACAGCAACCAAACAAGAAGTAAAAAATAAAAGGCATCCATATTGAAAAGGAAAAAGTAAAACTGTCATCATTTGCATATGACATGATACTATATAGAGAGAACCCTAAACATTTCACCAAAAGACTACTGGAAATGATAAATAAATTCAGTAAAGTAGCAAGATACAAAATATTCAGAAATCAGTTATATTTTTATACATCAATAATGAACTATCAGAGAAGAAAACTAAGAAAACAATTCCATTTAGAAGTGCATAAAAAAAATACCTTAGAATAAATTTAACCAACAATGTAAAAGACCTGTATTCAGAAAATTATAAGACACTGACAAAAGAAACTGAAGAAGATACAAATATGTGTAAGCATATACCATAATCATAGATAAGAAGAATTAAAATAATTAAAATGTCCATGCTATCCAAAGCAGTTTATAGATTCAACACAATTTCTATCAAGATACCAATGGCATATATTTCACAGAACCAGAATATTCCAAAAATATATGGAACCACAAAAGACCCCAAATAGCCACAGCATTCTTGAAAAAGAAGAACAAAGTTGGAGGGATCATACTACCTGTTATCAAAATATTCTAAAAGGCCATAGTAATCAAAACAGTATGGTACTGCCATAAAAACAGACATATAAATCGATGGATCAGAACAGAGAGCCCAGAAATAAACCCATGCCTTTATGGTCAATTAATATTTGACAAAGAAAACAAGAACATACAATGGACAGATAATGTGCAAAAAAATGAAACTAGACCACCTTACACCACACACAAGAATAAATTCAAAATGTAGTAAAGACTTAAATGTAAGACTCAAGATCATAAAAATATTAGAAGAAACATAGGTAGTAATATCTCAGACATTTCTCATAACAATATTGTTTCTGATATATCTCCTCGGGCAAGGGAAACAAATGAACAAATAAACAAATGGGACCTCAAACTAAAAAGTTTTTGCACAACAAGGAAACCATCAACAAAATGAAAAGACAACCCATTGGAATCGGAGAACATAATTGCTAATGATACATTTTATAATGATATATTTGATACCCAAAATTTATAAAGAACTTATAAACTCAACACCAAAAAAACAAACAATCCAATTAAAAAATGACCAAAAGAATAGACACTTCTCCAAAGAGGAAATACAAATGATCAATAGACATATGAAAAGATGCTCAATGTCACTAATCATTGGAGAAATGCAAATTAAAACCACAATGAGAGATTGCCTCACACTTGTCAACATGGCTAACATCAATAAATCAACAAACAATAAGTGTTGGTGAGGATGTGGAGGAAAGGGAACCCCCATACACTGTTTGTTGGTAGGATTGGTGCAGCCACTGTGGAAAACAGTATGGAGTTTCCTCAAAAAATTAAAAATGGAAGTGCCTTATGACCTAGCAATTCCACTTCTTGGAATATATCCAAAGAAACCTGAAATACTAATTTGAAAAAATATATGCACCCATATGTTCATTCCAGTGCTACTTTTACAAAAGCCAAGACTTGGAAGCAGCCCAAGTGCCCATTAGTAGATGAGTGGATAAAGAAGCTGTGGTACATTTACAACCTGGCCTTTAAAAAAGGAGAAAATCTTAACTTTTGTGATAGCATGGATGGATCTGGAAAGTATTATGCTAAGTGAAACAAGCAGTCAGAGAAAGACAAGTACCATATGATTTCATTTATATGTGAAATCTAATAAACATAAGAAACTAAGAAACAAAGTAAATGCAGACTCATAGATAAGAGAACAGACTGACATCTGTCAGAAGGAAGGGAGGTTTGGAGGCTAGGTGAAAAAGGTGAAGGGATTAAGCAAAGGAAAAAAACTCATAGACACAATTAAAAGTATGGTGCTTGCCAAAGGGAAAGGGGATTTGGGAGAAGTAAGAGGATAAAAGGGGGATTAATTGTATTGGAAGAAGACATGACTAGGGATGGTGAACACACAATACAATATACAGATGATGTTCTGTAGAATCATATACCTGAAACCTATATAATTTTATTAACCAATGACACCCCAATAAATTCAATTTTTAAAAAACAGTAGAGTACTCAAAAAAATAAGTAAGAAGACATAAGCAAACAACATAAAGATTTATAGAATCATTTATAAAATACCTGTGGGTTACTCCCTCCATTCGAGATATAACACTTGGTGAGTTTTCCTCCATCATCCCAGTCCCAATCATCATCATCCTCATCATCATAATCTTCCTCCTCTTCTCCCTCCTCTTCTCCCTCATCTTCATTCATTTTCTCATTCACATTATTTTGAAAGTCTTCAAACAGATTGCCATCTCCCTCTTTGATTGTCTTCAAGTCAATGTTTTCACTAGAAATAACAATATTTTAGCATATTTAAACATACTCTAATTAGACTTACATATGTATTTATTCACAACATAATAGACTAAATCTGTAACAATAAAACCCAAAGGCTCCCTTACAATATATCTGCCAATGAACTTAATTTTAGTACCAAGTTCTTCTGTTTTTCAGAGTTCTGTCCCAGTTGTTTGCATATTCTCTAGGCCCTACTAAAGAAGTACATCAGGTGTTAAACCTACCTCTGCCTAAGTCAGAATTTATATTGCTAACTTCTCTGCTGAAAGAACTGCTCCAATCAATACTCCAGACCTGACTAGGAAAACTGCTTACAGAGCTGCTTTAAAAGAGAGTAAAAAAAAAAGCTTTCTGACAAAACTTGGGAATAAGTCTAAAGCAGCTTTACCTTGAACTCAATACCACTTTGCATCAAAAGCTGTATTCAAGATCTGTGTTACACAAAGAACTTCAAATCACCCTTGTTCATGAAGGGAAGGAATGGTGCATACAAGCACCACAAATAATAAAGTAGGCTTGATATAATTACACAGAAGAAGGGATTGATGCCCAGAGTAAAGAAAGCACAACTAATAGGGTTTGTTTTTGTCATGTGAGAATTCAGACCCAGGGTTACATATCTTCTTAGTTTTTCAAGAGAAACCAGGAATATGGATTTTTGTGTAAAATATCCCACTTAACTGGCAAGTTCAACTTATCAAAACACTGTGCTTATCAAACAAAACATGTCTGCACGTCAGATTTTACAGAGGTGCTACCAGTTTTGACTTTTCATGTAAAGAATGAGGACAGAAACCATATAAAACAATTGATAATATACACTACCAGCTTAAAAAGTCAGATGTGAGTTTAAATAAATTCAGATTATCAATTCTGAGTTATTTATTAATCACTAGGAGCCAAGCGCGCGATATCGCGCGGTGCCGCCCACCCACTTTCAGCCCTGCTTTGACACCCAAATCTGTTCATGAAGAGCTCCAGCGCACCTGGCCCAGCCCCCAAACCCTCTGGCCTTCTCTGGCTGCTTCAAGCCCCGACCTCAGTCCCTCCAGTAGCCTCGGGCTGGTCCCAGCTTCCGCCCTGTCCCCGCTTCAGCCCATCTCCAGAGCAACGCAGCGGATCAGCCCTCATGAGGAGAGCGTGGAAGCCTCCCGCCTGCTGCGCTGTGCTCCTTCCCCTGGCAGGTGGGCCGTGGGGCACTCAGAGTGCAAGCAGTGGGTGGTGAAGGACTGGTGAGGGGGGCGCTATGGGCTCTCACCCCTGCCCTCCCTGGCACGGGATGGTCCTGCCTCCTCCAGGTGCCTCCCCGCTTCCGCCCATCTCTGGAGCAATATGTTATATGTTAATGATGTGGTCGTTACCTGTTACAGCATCCTGCTCGTTAGCATATTAACCCTTTACTAGTATAGACTAAAGGCCTGGTGCACAAAAATTTGTGCATTCGGGGGTGTCCCTCAGCCCTGCCTGTGCCCTTTCGCAATCTGGGACCCCTCGGGGGATGTCCACCTACTGAGTTAGGCCTGCTCCCTGGGGGTATTGGGCCTAAGCTGGCAGTCAGACATCCCTCTGGCAGCCCAAGAGCCCTCGGGGGATGTCCACTTGCCAGCAGGGAGCAGGCCTAAGCTGCAGTTAGACATCCTTAGCACTGCTGAGAAGGTGGAAGAGGCTCCCACCACCACCGCTGTGCTGGCAGCCGTCAGCCTGGCTTGTGGCTGAGCAGAGCTCCCCCTGTGGGAGTGCACTGACTCCTGCATTGAGCGACTGTCCCCTGGTGGCCAGTGTGTGTCATAGTGACCAGTCATTCCCAGTCGTTCTGCTCTTAGGGTCAATTTGCATATTACCCTTTTATTATATAGGATAGAGGCCTGGTGCACGGGTGGGGGACGGCTGGTTTGCCCTGAAGGGTGTCCCGGATCAGGGGTCCCGCTGGGGTGCCTGGCCAGCCTGAGTGAGGGGCTGAGGGCTGTTTTCAGGCTAGCCACATCCCCTTCAGGGTGGGGGTCCCCACTGGGGTGCCTGGCCAGCCTGGGTGAGGGGCTGAATGTCTGTCTGCATGCTGGCCAAGCCCCCCAGCAGGAACCCTCACCCCATGGGACTGTGGCCAGCCTGGGTGAGGGGCTGAGGACTGTTTTCAGGCTGGCCACACCCCCTTCAGGGTGGGGGTCCCCACTTGGGTGCCTGGCCAGCCTGGGTGAGGGGCTGAGGGCCGTTTTCAGGCTGTCCACAGCCCCTTCAGGGTGGGGGGTGGGGGGTCCCGCTGGGGTGCCTGGCCAGCCTGGGTGAGGGGCTGAATGTCTGTCTGCATGCTGGCCAAGCCCCCCAGCAGGAACCCTCACCCCATGGGACTGTGGCCAGCCTGGGTGAGGGGCTGAGGACTGTTTTCAGGCTGGCCACACCCCCTTCAGGGTGGGGGTCCCCACTTGGGTGCCTGGCCAGCCTGGGTGAGGGGCTGAATGTCTGTCTGCATGCTGGCCAAGCCCCCCAGCAGGAACCCTCACCCCATGGGACTGTGGCCAGCCTGGGTGAGGGGCTGAGGACTGTTTTCAGGCTGGCCACACTGCTTGCTCCAGCTCTGTGGCCTCCCCCATCTTAGTTGGGTTAATTTGCATACTCGCTCCTGATTGTTTGGTGGGCGTGGCTTGTGGGTATAGTGGAGTGGCAGAGTGATGGTAAATTTGCATGTTTCTCCTTTAATAGTTTAGATGGTTTACAGAGCTCCAAATCTTTATTGAACAAATAGTCATTAAACACCTACTATTTACTAGGATTTCATAAACATAATCCCTAAGTTGACCTTTCATTTGCTAATACCCTAGAGTGGCATGTTAAAGTTATACCTTCAATAGTACTGGGGCTTCTCAACCTTGGCTAGACAATTCTTTGTTGTGGGAAGTTGTTTTGTGCCTCATAGGACTGTTGGCAGCATCTCCAGCCTCTACCTACCAGATGCTACTAGTTCAGCACCATCCCCAGTTGTAACAAACAAAAATGTCTCCAGAAATTGCCAAAGTCACTGGGGGTGGGAAAAGGGGAAGGTGGTGGACAGAATCCATTGGTTTACCTTTATAATATCCAGTGATAGATATTTCCCCTTAACTTCTTCCCTTGGGCCTTTTATATTCTTACTAGAGGCCCGGTGCACAAAAATTTGTGCACTCGGGGGGGTGGGGAGGGGGGTCCCCCAGCCCGGCCTGTGCCCTCT